TTTTTTATTTTATTTTTCGTGGCCTGCCTCATGCCCTTTTCCGCCGGATGTTGCTGGACCACACCATCTCCACACGGACACCCCCGCCCGCGGCCGCGTATTTTCGTATGAAAATGGCCGCGGGCAAGCCGCAAGGAGACGTTCTCGGGGGACGTCCCCAAGAATGTGTGGAACAATGCCGCAAAATTCCCTTATGAGTCACAAGGAAAATTCCTTGTGTCTCAAGGAGCTCGTAAGGAGTGTCTAACGACGCCCTTTCCTTCCAAGAATGAGGTATCCCTTTTTGTTTGAATTGCATGCTAGAAATGGAATAAAAGTCCGGATGAGTTTATGAAATTTAAAAATTAGACTATCATTCTATTATAGGGAGTCCCAATTATAAATACGTTAATCCAATCTTAATTAGAAGATATTTAACATTATAGAATGAAATTTTAATTAAACCACCAGTACTTGGCCCAGCTATCCAGTCCGAGCCTCGGCCGACCGGTATGCCGAGCCTTGCTGAGGCTCGAACAACTGGGCACTAGCTTGCCGTAGCTGGTTGCAGAAGAACACGGAAAGAAAAGAAAAAAAAAAAAACGCAAAAAAAACGAGAGAAACATGGGATACTTTATTATAGGGGAAAAAAGAAAAACAAACGGTCCGTCTGCTACTCTTGAAACGTGCAAAAACAGAGTGAATCTTCCGCTAGAACATGGAAAGAAACACCGCCATAATTTTTGTCGATAGCAGCGGCATGACAGCCGGCGGGCTGCTTGGAGCACCCCGCACAGTCGCCCTTGAAGCACCCCGCACAGCCTGGCGACTGTCTCTCTCTCTCTCTCTCTACATGTGCACTCTCTCTCTCTCTTTCTACATGTGCACACTCTCTCTCTCTCTCTCTCTCTCTCTCTCTCTCTCTCTCTCTCTCTCTCTCTCTCTCGACATGTGCACGGTAGACAATAATCATGGCGGTGTAACTTTCCATGTTCTAACAGAAGATTCACTCTCCTTTTGCACACTTCGAGAGTAGTGGACCGGCCCGACACTCTCTCTCTCTCTCTCGCGCGCGCGTGCACCTGTCTCTTATACACATCTAGATGTGTATAAGAGACAGCACACACACACGGTGTGTGGGCAATTGGCGCTGAGCCACACAAGTGTGGCCAACCTTTCATTTTCGATTATATTAGCTATCTCTGTCTTCTTGTTATGGATGGATGTTTTGTCTGATTTGTGGACGAAATGAGAGAGAGAATTTGTGGTACTTTAAACACACACACACACACACACACACACACACACACACACACACACACACACACACACACACACACACACACCTGACTGGGGACTGCGGCCTAGCCATTCAGCGGGCAATTTGCCACCCCACCCAGTTTTTTCTTTCCCCTAAAAATGCTTGAGAAGAACACCACCTCCGCATACAATTCAGAAAAAAAGGACTTCAAAAAAAAAGGGAAAAATAAAAAATTCGGGTTTCGGGGGGCCGAACGTTCGATCGTCCTGCCAAACGCCGGCCACCCTTTTCTCCCTCTCTGCAAACAGTTGAATGGATAGTTTTGTTTGGCGATATAGTTCCTAGATTGGGTGTTTCAACCATGTGTTTATTTATTGTGAGAAAGTTGAAGTTTACCACGACAAGGAAGGTTTAGTTGTGTGTGTGTCTCGTACTTATTTTCTTCAACGTTTGACTAGACCCCGGTTAAGGTGGTTCATGTATTTATCTCTCAACTCTTAAAAGATGAACTGCTCCTATTGTGATGCTCCTACCGGGTCCATGAGAAACTGGGGCCGGAGTTCCACACCCGCTGCCCGGGACCACGAAGGGGCACGCCCGACTGTTATGTGAGTGTGCAGACCGCTCGTGGAGTGACAAAACAAAGAAGGTGCAGGAACGGACTGGCGGACCGGCAAAAAAAAAAAAGGTGAATGGGCACCTGTGATGGGAGTGCCCGCACTCGACACCCACCCGCGTGTTTCAAACGGGCGCAGCTGCATGGGGCCGTTCCAAGAGCATCAGTGCTGCTTGGGCTTAGGTCGAGTGTGAACGGAACTCTGAACTCTTTGCACACAACACCGGCGTGTGTGTGTGTGTCTGTGTGGGGGTGGGTGTGTGTGTGTGTGCGAGAGAGAGAGAGGATGCACTCCACCCGTGTGTTCGTGACTGGACATGAGTGGCGACTACGTGCATGAGGTCTGTGGAGGTGACCGACCACGACGACAATCTGCACGACGCTGGTGGACTAATGTGGACTTTGGCCTGACTTTCTATCTACGGGGCACACGGTTAGCTGGGTCTCTCTCTCTCTCTCTCTCTCTCTCTCTCTCTCTCTCTCTCTCTCTCTCTCTCTCTCTCTCTCTCTCTCTCTCTCTCTCTCTCTCTCTC